TAATTGTTTATATATGGATTACCTGTTTTTAGATTCGAAAAAGAATCTAAGCTTTTATTAATTTTATTATTTTTGACATTTTCTTACAAACATGACTATTTTTGAACAATATTATAAGTTGGTAGCAGTGGTAGTAGCAGACGACAGTGTTACTGTGCATGCGACAGTTGGCAGCAATGGATCAGCTGATCGCGATAGCTGTGCGTGTCAGCGTGTGTGGTGCAGAAATTGTTTAAGAAAAGTTTGTTAATCAGTGTCATTTGTAAAGAAATTTACTGATGAATCTTCTTATTGAACTCTAGGAATAAACAAATTCCAAAGATTGGAAGGGTAATAGAAAGATGAGGAAAAAGTTATTTTTGATACATTGGTTATCCAGATATCAACTCAGAAAATTTAGATGATCAACTAGACAAGAATAAAATGTACGTGAAATATACCTAATAATCTAACCGGAATGGAAAATTGTAATATGTAAGAAATAGTTTTGTAATTTATTTGTAATAATAAAGATTTTTTAAATATACATAATATGTATGTTCATTATTATGAACGTATATAAATATTCAACCTTTATAGGAACGGTAGGGGAAAGGTGTACGAGATGATCCCCCTAAGGGAAAAAACCTATTATTCAAAGAAAAATCAACATATTCGAGTTTGTTTTGTACGAACTAGTAGATAATTAATCCATCTAACTTTTCTAATTAGAAATGTATACAGCTAATTAATATTTTACAAGTAAATTTAATTTTTCTAAAACCTTACAAAAGGACCATCTTGGACACCGGGGTGTCCAAGATGATCCCCCTGGTATGGGCAAGATGATCCGTAGGTTTATCTTACCCCAATTATTGGAAAAGGAGTATAAATTGATGGAATAACAGTGTATCAATGTTAAATATACTTTATTTAGTCCACAAACGCTTTTGACCACTCACCACAATTCGTTTTCCTATTTTTTAATTACGAGGCATTGTCTACAACGAGAAAATTAATAAAATAGATGTAGATGTCAACTTTTTGTTTTAGATACGTTAGTTTTCATAATAAAAACATATAAGAAGCGAGAAAAATTAAATTTTTTATTAATACTAGAAAATTCATTTTGAGGTGAGACGAAATACATGGGAATTAGGGGGGATCATCTTGTACACCCATTGAGGGATCATCTTGCCCCAAATGCTACTATTTTGTAATTTGTTTGTAACTTAACCTACGAGCTCTGTTATTCCATAATACCAATCAGAACACTTAGTTGAAGAGATACTGAAGCCGTGAGTACAAGAAACATGGAATTTTAGCTACTACAACAAAAGTTATCTAAGCCCAAAGTTAAGCTTTCCTTAGATCAAAAGTATAAAATTTTTATTTTTTCCAATAGAATTTTTTTAATGACGCGTGTTGTCATGACAGTTTGACTGATTCATAGGTATGTCATTGGCAACGTATTACCGTATTTACCTAAAAGGTGGAGCTAATAGGCTCGCCAAAATTCAAAAGGATCATCTTGCCCCAGGGGATCATCTCGTACACCTTTCCCCTATATTTTAATATCGTGAATTTGTCTAGAAACGTTCAATTTTAATAGAAAGAGACTAGACAGCCAGCCTGTATACATATATTCTAGATGTTTCTAGCGTCACATTCCTAGTTCGCTTCTGTCCAGATTTCCCTTCAAGTTCATAGACAGAATCTAGCGCCACTAGGCAGTTTCTCATATACTTCCACGATAAATTTCTACACGGGTGGGGCAAACCGGCCATACTAACGGTTTTTTTACTCTTGTGACTAAATGAATCAACCGATTTCATTTTCTGATATCTTGTTTGAAAGGTCATTTAAGGGGTTACGCCACCCTGAAATTTTCAAAAAAATTTATTTTTTTTTTGCTTAATTTCAAAGTTTATATTCTAACGAATATTTTGAGATGTCGCCGAAGACAATTTCTCACTAATTACAAAAGTTATGGTCATTAGAAGTCAGCGCGGTGGGGACGCGCCGAGAGCTGCTGGAAGCAGCGACTTTCTATTTTCGAATGGTCTAGGGGGCCCTTTCATGATTTAGAAAGGGTCCTTTTCATTGTATCCCTTCCATTCTTAAAGAAAATAAATTATGGCCCAGGAATTGCTGATTAAATAGTAAATTGAAAAATTTTCAAGTTATAATACACTAAAGTTCATTTTTTTCTTCTTTTGCGTTTTTCTCGAAACCACAATTTTCGAGACGGTGTACACGATAACTCAAAAACTATTCAGTCGATTGACTTCAAAATTAATATACATCTTCCTAAATAGATTTTCCACAGAGTGACGTGGGATTTTTTTAATTGAATAATTTGAAAATTTTTTATCCAATTTTTTATACGGTAATTTTAGCAAAAAAAAAATGTCAATTTTTAAAGTGCTTCCATTTGCGTAAAAATTTTTTTTTTTTAAATGGCTTCGTCACTCTGTTCAAAATTTATCACTTTTTAAGAAAAATATTGTTTTACTTGTTTCTGACAAAAATTGAACTGCCAATCATGTACACCATTAAGGACTGCTCCGAAAAAAATTGATCCACGCCAATAGTTATATCTCCGCCATTTTTAATTAAAAACAATTTTTTTTAATATTTATAAAGCTCAATATATGTACTAAAGCATCAATAAATGTAAAGAAGTCCTACCTCAAACAGTTTTATCAAAAAATTCCTAAAAAACCATCCGATTTTCATGCGTTCAGGGTGGCGTAACCCCTTAATTGCGCAACTTTTTCCTAGAGACACCTATACTTTATCTTTTATTGTTTAGTTGCTGTGTTATCTTTAAAAAAATTTTGCAAACTGGCCGGTTTGACCCACCCCCATGGGGCAAACCGGCCAGTTTGGTTTGTCATCTATAATATTACATTTGTATAATCTACAATAACAACAAACAAAGAATCATGTGAACAATGGTTGTAATAATGTAAATAATAATACAGGATTGAATTTTAATTAAATAAATAATTTGTTTTAATAACAAAACAAAAATGTTTTAAATTATCAGGGAAACAATATTAAAGGGTCTAATTCTCATTGAAAGTAAATATTTTAATAAAAAAAAAATTCTAATTAATAATAATTTTCGTGAAACTCCGATACAATGAAAATATCCTATGGCCGGTTTGCCCCACAGGTCTTATTTTGAGAATTAATATTTGTTTAAAAAAACCGCTTTGCAAATTCATTAAAGTTTTTGGTGGTAAATATTCCTGAGGTGTGTACCTTCAACAAAACCTAAGACCTAATATTTGGAAATATTACACGATTTCCTCAGAATTTCCTGAAGAACAAGTTCGTAAAACTACTAAAAAAACTAAAAAAACTTTTGCTCCCAGCGTTGCACAAACAAAAGTAAATAATGTCAAATTGAAAAAATAAGGTATACTACACATGGTTGTTGTTTCAAATTTATAAACAACACATTTGTCAATTTCGCCATTTCGGGAGTATTGACACCGGGCCGGTTTGCCCCACTCTCCCCTATTATATAATATTAAAAATAATTTTGTAAAAATCGACTGAGTTTTTGTAAAGAAAAAAATATTACGTAAAAGATTATTTAAAGAGAAAAGCAAAAAAAAAATTCTTCTATTCAAAGCGTGTGTTTGTCACTGATACAGAATGCAATTCTCGTGATTAAATATATCGACAAGTGCCAATAGAAAACTTTCGCTGATTCTGCTGAAAAGTTCTCTTATTAAATGAGCTCTGAATTTCACTCCAACACTTGATTGTTACAATGCATTTTGTATCATAGATTCGAATGTCTGATTAAACTTTCCCTGATATGCAGAGAAAGTATAAATCAAGAATCCAAACGATAATGATGATGATCACACTTCTTCATCATAATAATCAAAACGAAAAAAAATTCATCACATTTTTCTCTTTACTTCTTTTGAAAAATATTTATTCGCCTAATGAGAGTTTGGAATCAATATTTCTTTTTGAGGAAATAAATTATAAACGTTCTTCAAATTGTTTTCTAATATTTTTTCTTTTTTTCTTCAGGGAAACATTTTATTTATTTTTAATTTTCTGGTAAAGATTATTATAGCTAAGAATTGTTTTTATAGATTTTTTCTTATTTGTAGGGGAGAGTTGTCAGGGTTAGGCATAGTTTTGTCTTTTCTTCATAACATCCCCTGTAGGACGAATTTCGCGATTTTGCGCATATTGTTGGAAAGATTTACTCAAATGCAATGTTCTTTTTGAACATTGTAAAAAATTTTTACCAAAAGTATCGGAGTTATAAGCAATTTAAAAAAAAAGTTGTCAGGGTTGAACATGGTTGACAAAGATGAGTCACTGTACACTGAAAGAATTTTGGGAATTTTGGGCAAGACTCGCCTTTTTGAGGTTAGCTGCGAGTCTTGAGGCAGCGAGCTATAGCGGCACCCATGTAAATCCTGCAGCCTGCCCAAAATTCTTTCAGTGTAGAAAAATAAATGAATTGTGTTGGTAAATAATTAAAAATGACCTTCAAATGATAGAGTGACACTAAGGGAATGAGGATAGGAACCAAGAAATTAATGGACAATTTTAGTAAACTTATTTTGTCTTTGGCATGTTTCTTCTACATTTAGTTCTCTTCTTTTGACACCACAAAAAAGTTTTTGCTGAGCGTATAGCACTGACTCACAAAGACTCAAGTATACGTTCGTATACTTTACTGCGACTCATGTGAAATGTTTGCTGACATTAGTAGCAAGAATTTACGTACAAAGACAGATGGCGCTAATGTGATAAAACGAAATAAATGCGTTGGCTCAACCCTAAACACTGCCCAACCCTGACAACTCTCCCCTACTTTTCTTTTGTTCTCTTTTTTTCGTTTTGTGCTTTTCTTTTGTTTAGGACTTTTTTTCGTTTTGAGCTTTTCTTTCGTTCTATAATTTTTTTCAAATGGAATAGAGAAAAAAATTCTCTAGAAATGGACAAAAATTAATGTGTAGAAAATGTAACTCACTGACCAACGTCGACTATGTGTTGAAGAGTAGGAAAACGTCTTTTAACTCGTAACGAAATCCTCTGCAGTGTTATGACATAGGCGAGAACGGCATATCTGACAATGTTCCTCCTCATTAAACGACCTCGTTCATCCTTGAAGCAAGAAAACAAAAATTTAGTTCAAAAATAGTTTTTCAAAAATTTTTCTTAATTAAATTTATTAATTAAGAATTTTCTTTGATTAAAATATATTATTCATTCTAGTAGAAGAAAATTTTTACTGTTTTAGATATTTTTTTTGTTAGTAAAATCCAATTCATTCTCAACAATTTCCTTTGCATTAAAAAAAATCCAATTAATCGTTTTCTTTAAAAAAAATTCCACTAGTTTACAAAAATATTTTTTGAATTAAGTTTTCTTAATTCAAAAAATATTTTTGTAAACCAGTGGAATTTTTTTTAAAGAAAACGATTACTTTACAGTAGAAAATAATAATTATTATTTTTTATCCTTTTTTATTTTATTTGTTTATTGTATCGTGTATTTTAAAGAAATTTAAAAGGCAAATAAATTGTTTTTAAGGTAGGGTGGGGCATTACTATTCCTGTTTAGATTTTTGAGTCTAAAAAATGTATTTAAAAAAAATAAAAAAATGCTTAGGACCGTTTGAAAACTTGACTTCTTGCAATTAGCTACAATTTTGCCATGTATTATTTTGCTGCAACTCGATTCTGTTCCGAACTACAGCGATTTTACGTAACCCTTTTTTTTATGTCGAAAAAACGAGGAACGAAACTATTCCCGCAGCTATTAATGACATAATACTAAAAAAAATATGCCTAAACATGATTTGTTAATTGGAGGAGTTTTTCTCTTCCAATTTCTTACCATTCTAACCTAAAATTTCAGTACTAAGCCCAAGCCAGAGGCGTTACCTCCCGATGTTGGACACGTAATAGGCCAGTATGAAAGTCAGTACTGGTTGTCATTTTCCCGTACTGAACCAGTAATATGCCTATTGTAAATTTCTACCTGGGCGAGTATATCAAAATCACATTTGAGTACCTAACTCCTACGATAGATGGCGCCAGTAGCTCAAATGTGGCGTACCATACCATGTCATTTCACATGACAAGTATACAATGTAAAAGGGACTTCAATCGAATGAATAGTTTTCTCTCCAGGACTAAAGAATAGTTTCGCCCCGCGAATAGTAATGCCCCACCCTACCCTACTATAAAAAGATATTAATTAATTCTATTCAAAAAACTTCTTTGAAAATCAGTGGAATTTTTTGAATGAACAATTAAAAAAAATTGGTCAATAATAATAAATAAATAAAATATTAATTAATCTTCCTTTAACTTTAATTAATTAAAATATTGTTTAGTTAGAGAAATTTTTATTTGAAGAATAAAATTTTTTAAATGAAGAATTATCTTTTAATTTGAAAAGATTTTTCTATTTAAAAAAAAATATTTTTATGAAGCAAATAAAAATAGACTAAAAAATATTTTTAATTGTTCATTCAGAAAAATTGTGGAGTCTCAAAAATGTCTTTTTCGTTAAGAAAAATCATTTTATATTTAAAAAGTAATAATTCCTTGTGTTGATATTGATAATAATTTTTCTAAAAATTCGACAATATGATAAACAAATAAAATAAAAATAGCTAAATAGGAACCATCTAATCAAATAAAACCCCCAAAAAAACAATTTTCTGGGTGCTTACTTCTAAACAAAAAATAATATGAATGTATTTTTAATATTCAGTTTGACGATTGCGACTCGGTGACGCCGATAAATTGTTGATTTTTATCAAACATTACGATTCGTTTATAATTTGTATGTATACACAGTATGTAAATTTGTTCGATTACAAAACTTTGTGTGAAGACGCTCGTAACAAAATGCGCACATCTTGAAAAATCAACTATTGATTCGAAAACAAGAGAGAAGAAAAAGAAAACGAAAATAGAAAACAAAAAAGTAATAAAGTATTATTGACAAGTTAATTAAAAATTATAAACAAAGTTAACAATATAATATATTAGATGAAAATTTTTCTTTTTCTTTTTTTTCGTCTTTCTGGTGCCAAGTACACTTAATCAAAACTTGCATGGGGAAAGTGGCGAAACATGCATCAGCAGCAGGCGAAACGTGTTTAGAATGAAAAAATTGTCGCGTCTCGGAAACGAATTTTTGGCGCGAGCCAATTGCCCCTTTCGATAAAAATTTATATATGTGTCTCTGCATATACCACTGGAATCATTGGTCGTTTCATTGCACATTCTTCACGCGAGGAAGGTGAATGCCTTGAGAAAAATCATCCTTGGCGATGACTCGAGGACGTATTATTGCAGAAAATGTGAACGGAAATTGAGGGTTTTTTTTTGGGAAAAAAATTAGCTAATTAAATTAATTCGTACGAAAAGGAAAAAAATTACTAGTATTTATTACGTTGGAGCTAATTAGTACTCATTATCCGCTAATTGATGGCTAATTAATTAATAGCTAATTAATTGAAATTGACAGCTAATTAGTGACTAATGAATTATACTTGTTAATAAATTAGTAGCTAATTAATTCTACTTGTTAGTAAATTAGTAGCTGATTAATTTTACTTGTTAGTAAATTAGTAGCTAATTAATAAAAATTGATAGCTAGGTAGTGGCTAATTAATTCTACCTAATAATCAATTACTAGCTAATTAATTTTATTTGATGGAAAAGTACAAGCAATTTAATTAAAATTGGTAGATAATTATTTCCAATTAGTAGCTAATTAATTCTAATTGCTAGAAAATCACGAGCAAATTTATTAAAATTAGTAACTAACTAGTAGTTAATTAATTCACTAAATAGTAAATTAGTGGATAATTAATTACACTTGATAGCTAATTAGTAGCTAATTAATTCCACTTGCTAGTTAATTAATTCTAATTGACAACTAACGATGAAAATTAGTATAGCAAATGCAGCAAAATATTGAATCCTTGAGAAGATTTTTTTTTCCTTTTTTTTTTTTTGCTTCAATCGTGAAATAATTTTCGTGCATGAAATTCCGACTCCATGTAAGGCGAACGTGCACAAATGCCCGGGCTTTGAAGTTAGGATTGAAATAATCAACTTTCATGTTGAGGAGATTGAGGGACGGTCATCATTGACACAGAGTTTGCATTTCAATGAGTTTTCAATGAAAGGCATATATTTCTCGAAACATCTGGCACTTGTCATCGATATTTCATTCATAAAATTGGATTCTTGGATATATGGTTTTAAAATTATTTTCTGGGAGAGGAAAATTAATTTTTTTATAATTGTGTTTCAAAATTCAAAATTTAATTTCAGCAATTACTTAATTAAATATTTATTTTTTCGAATTCAATATGTCAATTTTGTCGGATTTTTTGGAAATTATTTCTAATTTTGTTTTCAAAGTATTTCAATTTTTTTTAATTCAGCCTAATTTTTATTTTTATTTCGGTCGACCTTTTTCAATTTATAACAATTTTTTTAAAATTCTGATGTCGACTTTCTTCTTTAAAATTAGTTCGAATTTCTTTGAATTCAGTCTAATTTTTCTTCAAGTTTTTTGGAATTTGCTACTAATTCTTTAAATTTTTTATTTGTTATTCGTATTTTTATTTTATAATTTAGTCAATTTTTTCAAATTTATTATATTTTTATTAGTTTTTTAAATTTTTATTTCTAATTTAGTCTAGTTTTTCTCTTTTTTAATTCAATCTAACTTTAATTTTTACTTCAGTCGACATTTTTCAATTTATTACAATTCTTTTTTTAATTCTGATGTCGAATTTTTTTGATTCAGTCAAATTTTTCTTCAAGTTTTTTGGAATTTGCTACTAATTCTATAAATTTTTTATTTGTTATTCGAATTTTTATTTTGTAATTTGGTCAGTGTTTTTCAAATTTAGTTGATTTTTATTAGTTATTCGAATTTTTATTTCTAATTTAAGCTAATTTTACTGGATTTTTATTAGAGTGAGTGTAATTTTTATTTCTAATTCAGTCTGATTAGTCTTTTTATTAGTAGGGAGACAAGCTTCTTCTTGCGACAAGCTCAAATTTAAGTTTTTAGTTCAATTACAAATACAATTAATTTAATTTTTGTATTCAATTTGAATTAATTTGAATTTTATAATTCAATTCAATGAATTCAATTTTTTGATTCAATTATATTTAATTAAATTATTTTTTTATTCAATTCGAATATTAAGAGTTTTGGAAAAATCCTTCTTACTCCAGATTAAAGGGAATTTTTCTCACATGAATGTGAAAATTTTTTTTTTAAACGTGAATAGTGTGAATATTTTTTTCTTCTTTCTTTCTTTCTTTCTTTCTTTCTATTTTTTTGTAGAGTAAATGTGAAGGATCGATTATACTGGATGATCGTTCCAATTTTTTGTTGGGTGTGGCATGTATACATGCACTAGACTGGTAACTACTTATACACGTAGGTTAACGACATCGAAATATGTCATGGTGATTCATTAGCGTAATGATTTACGAGCAACAACTAGTATACCTTATGTTCGGATTTAAAGGCTGCATCAATTATAACGACGTCTCTCTTCTCTCGATTCCGTCACTATGTAATCAGTCGCAAAAAAGAAACGGAAAATAAAAACATTTTTTTGACATTTCCAATATATATATATATATAGATGATGGGGAAAAATCAGGAGAAATTCATCAAAAGAAAAAAAAGCAGTTGCAAAAGGGAAAATCAAGAAAAATTCGACGATTTGACGAAAAGCAAAGAAGAAAATAAGGAAAAGTTCAACGAGTTAAAGAAAAGCAAAAGAAAAAAAGTGTAATACGAAAATAAAAATAAAAAATAGCCTTGTTTTTCTACAAGGCGAAATATATTTTTCATTGAAGGAAAAAATATGCAAATTCTTTTCAAAAATGAAACAGAGAAAAAAATACACTTTACAATGGCAAAAGAAATTTTTCAATTATTGCAGTATTATTTATTGTGACGAATGATTTATTTTTTACGAGATAATTAAATATTTGCATTCTCTTTGTGATTGTTATTAAAAAAGAAATAATTGTCAACAATAATGCACAATATTTATACGAATAAGAATTATGTACTTTAGGTGTAAATATAATTTCAAGTACTCGCAAAAGAGTCATGAAACAAATAACATAATTTTCAATTATGTAATAAATAACATTGAAGAAAGTGTATCAATTTTTCGCAATTTTTGAAAAAAAAATATTTGCTCTCTTATTTTGCTTTAATAAACATATATTATTTCTGAAAAAGAAATTAAATTGAGGGTCTGGAACGGATAACTGCCTGCAACGCATGGTTGAAAAGGACTATACCAGTCAGACAGCAGTGAGAAGCCTAGAGGCGCTCACTGTTGTCTGACTGGTATAGTCCCTTTCAACCTTGAAGCGATACAAATGCTCCTGGCAAATGTGACCGGTCCGACTTTCATGTATTCGTTAAAATTATTATAATTTCCGTGTCCTGTAATATTCGGACGGTAGTGGGGGTTTGGTGGGTTAAATCGCGGGTCGATGAAGAGTTCAATTAATTTATTAATTGACTATCGCAATTCGTCGACACCGGTTCAACAACGGCTACGCTCTCACGTGCCGGCCGAGGACACGGAAGGTAGTTTTTGTGTAAATTTAAATATTTCTCATTTATTAAATATAGTTTATCATTTTTTTTATATAAAATATTTTTGTTGTGTTTCATTATGTAAAGTGTGGCCGTTTGTGTCCGTTGGAGTTTTTTGGGAATAATAAGGATGGCCCTAACATACAGACTTTATCAAAATAACGAGTATTGGAAGTCGGAACCATCCACAAAGCCTGAGCCTCCGTTGTCATAATAATTGTGTGAGAATCATACAAATAACCCGTAAGTTAATCTTATAAAAATGTCTTTTCGGGTATATAACATTAGAAAATAATATTTGACTTGACAATATTATTTTTCAAAATATTCTGACGGATTTAAATATGAGAGCAAATTTAGTTGAGAGGCGAATTGCGAATTATTTCTTTTAATTGTATCGTTTGTTAATTTATGATTTTTGATTTTATTATTGTACTTGTATATTTCGTTTTACATATTGTTGTCTGAATGTGTGTATATTTTTTGAATTATTTCTAATTTCTATTTTCCATATTTTGTATAATTCCTGACGTCAGGCCTATTTTATTTAAACTGTTGACTGAAATATAATAATTATTTCTTTTTGTAAATTATTTGTGTGTTGATTATATTGTGTATTTTGTATTTTCACGCAATTCCGTTATTTTATTTATTTATTTGAAATCTTTTGTTTTATAATTTTTATTGTTTTTAAATTTTGTATTGTCGCGGTTTTTATTGATTTTCATCAAATAAGAAAATCGTTACAACCTCCAGGCCCTCAATTTATTTTTTACTACTATTTATTATTAATTAATAATTATTAAATAAAATTAGTATTTAATTAATATTTAATTTTATTAATGTATTAATTTTATTCGTAGTCTTATTTAAGATTCAAGTAATTAATATTCTTAATATTAATTATTTTATTTAGCTTAAATTAATAATTAATTAAATAATTTAATTAATTAATATTCATATGAATAATTGTGACTTACGTTTCCAGGAATGGCGGCACTTATAAAAAGTGCAAGATTGTCGGGCCATGGTAAAAGTTTGTATTGCTCCCACCATCTTTTGACTACAAGCGACACGTAAAATCCAAGAACAAAAGACATTGGAATTGAATCGCTCGAATTTGCGAAATAATACCGAATCTTCTCGAATACCCTTGAAAGAAAAATTAAATTGTCATTATTTGTTTTATATTTCTAGAGAGGAGGGGAAATTTCAGCTGAAATAAAAAATTAATATATTAACTTATTAATATAGTATGGTAATTAAATTATAATTAATTAATAATTCAAAAATATTAAATAATAATAACTATATAATAATACAAAATTTTATTGACAATAAATAATTGTTGAATAAATAATAAATAATAATAATAGATAATGAACAAATTTATTGACAATTTTTAAAAAGTTATTTTAATAAAAAAATTAAAAATTACGATTACAAAAAAATAGAATAATCGAGAAAATATTAGACCGAACTACAAATTTTTGCCCTGCTATGAATTAAGTTCGTAAAATAAAATTCTCACTTTAGATTAAAAAGGAAAAAAAGGGAATATTCACAATTTTTTAATATATTTTTTTTCCTCTGGAGAAAACATAAAATTAAATTACTTACAGAATTTATATAATATAGATTACAAATTTTAATTTGAATGACTTTTTAGTCATTTCCAGGTATATAATTAAATAACTAGAGAGAGAGAGAGAGAGAGAGAGAGAGAGAGAGAGAGAGGGGGGGGGGCATAAAATTATATCAATTATTGTGACGCAATTTAAATGAATCTCTATAGTCGACAAAACACAGGATTTTATTTGACATTATGTGGAACAAGGCTATTATAGGATATCGCTCTCCCATCATGCATTTATGGGACAGACAAAAAAATATATATATATATTAATTTTTCGAATAAAATGAAACACTTTTTTTAAAGGAAGAATTTCTATTCAAATTGCGTAATTCAATGACACATGATTGTCGAAAAAATTTATTAATAGCAACATTTCATAATCAAAGTGTCATTGAATTTTTCGTTAACAATGAATTCGCCTTTTTTTAAATAGAACGTATTTTAAATTCCATATTTTGATTGTATCAAGAACATAAATTCTATTTATACACAATTTGAATTTGTTCCGAACAATATTTTGCAAAAATAAAAGTTTTAATTAGTTTAAAAGAATTGTTATACGTTTAATTGTAATTGAGTTAATTTTAGAAAATTAATTAATAAATGAACTATGTATCTATATTAATTAGAATTAATAAACTATTATTATAAATGAAAAAATTATTTATTAAAAACAGTTGATAATTGTAAATATACACGAAATATTAAAATTAATTCCTAAATGAAAAAAAATTATTTATTAATCAAAAAACTTCTTTTTGCAAAATATTGTTTTTTGCGAAACAGTAAATTTTGTTTTGCCCTTAAAAAAATAGATAGTTGTAAAGATGGGTTGAAATTGGAAGAAAAAAGTAAATGTGTTGAAATCAAAGTTAGGCCAAGGTTAAGAGCAATAAAATGCAATTTTATTTACGCGCACTTGAAATACGATTGAATTTTTACGAGAATTTTTATTCGAGGTAAACGTACAAGCAACGCGCTTGCTGCAATATATAAATTTAAAGGTGCATTTTTCGTTATTTTCTTTTTCTTTTGCCAATCAGTTATTGTCATTCTTTGCAAATTGATAAGAAACATTAAGTGTATGTTGTGTATCAATATTGTGGACTTTTTTTTTTAATTCTTAAAATCCATTTTTTATTACAATCTCAATGAAAAAGTTTACTTGATTAGTCAAAATTACAGTTTTTTTTAATAAAATTCCCTACATTAATTTTTTTTTGTTAAGTAATTTATAAATAAATTAACTTTTTAATTAATCAGTAATTATAAATAGTTGAAAGTTTTATTTTACCTTAAAAGTACATTGCGGAAAAAAATTTTATTCATTACATATTATTGTTAATTATTACTAACTAGCGCCTCCGTCGACCGCTACGCGGTCGACTACGTTGCTTCCACTTTCCATTTAACACGTAATTATTCTTTAAAATTTTTAACACGTAATTTGCTTTTTCATGTTATTCTTACCTTTAAATTATGATTTTGTTGTGATAAAAAAATGTAAAAACAACAAATTTCATTTGTTTAAATAAATTTTGAAACAAAATGTTTGTGGCAAAATTCAAAAATTATTATATTTGTTCAGAAATAATAAAACATTTAAATATCACTTCGAACGAAAACTGGTTTATAAACAATAATAAAAAAAACTGGTACCCTATGTTTTTTTTTAATTTTTACTTATTCTTCAGCAAATAAATGTTTATTTATTACTTATACGTATAATATATATGGTTATTATGTTGTATGTTTAGTCACACTGTAAAAAATTTCGGGTGAAATTTACACCGTCGCACGAGGGCAATAAAAGAACCCTCGTCGCACGATGTGAAATCACCCTGAGCCTCGAATGATATTTACATCGACGCACGATGTACAAAAAAAATATACATCGTGTGTCGATGTAAAATTCATTCGAGGCTCAGGGTGATTTCACATCGTGCGACGAGGGTTCTTTTATTGCCCTCGTGCGACGGTGTAAATTTCACCCGACAGTTTTTACAGTGCGTTCACAACAACAACAGAAATTTGTTTTGTTCCTATCGTTCCGATTAAGTAACTAAGTTAGTGAGGTTAGGAACATTTGTTTACAAAGTGCATACCTTGTACATTTAGCACAAACCAGAAATACTACAACATAACACATTCAACACATTATTTTTCTATTGTTGACGCAGCCCAAAAATTACAAAATTAAAAAACATTTAATATACTTTTATTTATATTATAATAATAAAAAGCAATTATTTGCCGAAAATAAAATAAGATTCCAAAAGAAAACAAACAGCGGCCATCTTTCTATCTTGGTTTGACGTCATCCTGCATTTCACGCGTGCGTAGTCTTTTTTAAGAATGTTCTGTGATGACGTAATATCGATATATCTCTAAAGTTTCGAGAGAATTCGAGTTTCAATAGAAATAGAGTTTCGAGCTAGTTCTTCGATTTTTCTCGAACTTTCTTTTTTAGGAAAGGACTATTTTAATTGTAATTATTCTATTTATGATTATTACTATAATTATAATTATTGCAATTATAATTATTACAATTTGAATTCTTCTAATTGTAATTAAAATAATTATATTTATTCGAAATGCGATTAGTATAATTACAATTATTCAAATTTTAATTATTAAAATTATTATTGTAATTATAATTATTCTAATTGTAATTATTAAAATTACAATTACTCTGTTTGTAATTTTTAAAATTACAATTATTCTGGTTGTAATTTTTAAAATTACAATTATTCTAATTGTAATTATTAAAATTACAATTATTCCAATTATAATTATTAAAAATCCAATTATAATTATTCAAATTACAATTATTTAATATTATAATTAATTAATGTTAGTACCCAAAAAACTCACCTTTGTTGTTCTTCGTTAAGAGCATATCTGTAGGTGAAATTGATGATGTAATAAACGAAAAGGTAAACGAGAAGTTCTCGCCATATGAGCTTATAAACTGAGCCTCGCCATCTGCAAAAAAGAAAAAAAATAAGAAAAATTGCAAAAATGCCAAAAAAATTATTTCTCAAATATTATTCTACACATAAAAAAGAGGTCTTTCCAAAGGTTAATATATTTTTTTGAACAATAGAGGAAGCAGAAGGAAAAAAAATGAGTGGCGCCTCTTAGGAGTTGCGCAATTCTTCATGTGTCTTAATTTACGACTATGGCACGTGCCAAAGTAATTGCGTATGACAAAGGTGATTTCTCTTAATTCGATTAATGAGGTAATTTATTTTTCCCATATACATGTTATTTTACATCTGTTTTAGAATATATTAGTATTATTGTATTATTGTTTATACTCCTGCCTTATTGGCCTTACGCACTTCGACAAGAGTCCCCGAGAAATACTTTTTGGATTAAGCATAACCATTCTACTTAGAAATTTTCTATATATTAACCTAATTTGCGTCTACAGCCGACTTTATTAGGAGTACTCGCATTCCGCCTGGACCACCCGTCAATGGGTTTTCTCGCCAGAGAAGAGGGAAATTGTAGAAAACCTCTCCTGAGTACAACCGGTTTATCGACAGTCGAGTTCTAATGGTGTGTACCGGACAATAATCGACGGTGCACATCCCCAGGCGGCACACTTCACGTCTTAATAACTTAAAGTTACCGTTTTCAAGTCACCTTTTTGGTAATGGAAATTGTCAACAAAAAGTTAACAAAATGTAACCATCAAATTGTTGACTTTGAAAAGTTAACATATATTTACCGAAATCTTGTTAACTATTTGCAAAGTCGAAAAAGGTAACAAAAAGTTATTGAAAATGTGTATGTAAATTTGACAACAATTGTAAGTTATCTAATAGATAATATTTTTAAGTTGACATTTTTGTGTAGTATAATAGTAATTAAAACGATAACTATTTAAAATCATCATTAGTTCAACGATCTTCAGATAACATTTTGTTAACTATTTAAAATTATCATTAGATCAACGATCTTTAGATAACATTTTGTTAACTTTTTAAAGTTAACTTAATGTTATATGTAAAAAGTTAACAAAATAAATATATAACAGCGAGTCAAAAAACGGTTTATATTGCCTTTCCGATCAGACACTTCCCCAGAGCGTTATAACCTAAAAATCGTGCAGCGTGGGTACGTACATCGTCAGCTCATATCAGCTCGCTGGTGAAATATATTTATAGAGGTTACGTTTTGTTTCACCATTGGAAAAAAAGGTAATTATGTATTTTCAGATCACTAATTGTACTTAAATCGGTTTTTATTTTTGTTTTAATTATTTCTGTATTACTTGTAGGCAAAAAAACATTTTTTGATCTGCCGAAGCATCAGCAACTCAGCCACGTGGAAATGAGAGAAGTTTGCACGATATTAATATTTATACATGTATAAAATCTACCTATTAAGTATAATTATTAATAAATATATAAAAAATGAAATTTATTAAATATTTTCAGTTTTAGGGTTTTAATAAGTAGGCGACGATGCTAAGCAATTAGCTCTTTTTTCAATCATGTCAGTGATAATCTATAATAACATAAAGATGATTATTGAATACAAAATGCATAATGTGTATTGCAATAAAATATGTCTTTATTTATTATAGGGCATATCTGATTTGATTGAAAGAAAGAGTTAATTGCTTAGCGTCGTCGCCTATATTTTTGCCTTTTTATCCTTTCCAAAAAGTACCGAAAACACCAACTAATACGATAAATAAAAGTAATCAATTTGCGAACTTTTCAGACTCTATTTGTTAATAAAGCGATAACTATTTCTTATTTTCAAAATCAACTATTAGTTGTCTTTAAGTTAACATTAAATTTATTATTCAAAAGTTGTAAAACATATGTTAACTTTTTAGTATTATATTTTGAATCAAAATAGTTGTCAATTTTATAACTTAAGCAAGTCATCTATTTGATATCTTTTTGGGAATTCGAAAAGTTATAAAAACGTTAACTTTTTTTCCCATAAACGTGACATTTTTGGTCGGACATTTGATAAATTTTAGGTATACAACATCATTTACAAAAAGTTAACTTTTTGGAAACTCAAAATGTTAACAGTCAACATTTCAATGTCAACATTTTGATACCTTTTAGTTCACTGTGTGCCGCCTGGGGATCATTATACCTCGACGTCAACCCAGGCAGAAAAGTTGGAGATGTGCCAGCACTAACGACCGGCATGGTACCGAACCGGTTGTAAAGTCGGACTTATGCTAGTACCGGCAAAAAGGTACCGGGCCGGATATGAAATAAATACCGGCCCAGTAGTAAATGTGGATTTGTACCGGTACTGGTAGTGTGTACCGGGCCGGTTGATAAAAAATATCTGGCCCAGCACCGGCCCGGTACTACTATTTGGTTTTGTTTTTATACGGACGAAGGAGATTTGCTGGTGATAATATTTGTACCTGCCCGGTACCACAATTTGGTTTTGTTTTTATACGAACGAAGGAGATTTGCCGGTGATAATATTTGAGCCGGCAAATCGTCCCGGTTGTTTGCTAACCCAGATAACCAGCGTACTAGTACGATGCATGTACAATACGACTATGGCGTATTAATCGTACTGGTACTGTACTCGCCATCTACCTTCGCACGGTAACAGGTACTGTACTAGTATGTCGTACCAGTATGCTTATGCTCGTATAATACGAGTACGATAATAGTATGGTGTACTGAAGGTTTTTGTAATATAGTTTATCGTACGGTTACTGTATTCGTACTATACTAGTACCGCGTGTAAAGCCTTTTATATCCCTCCCCCTCTTGTGCTTTAGTCTGTATTAAGTATTAACTATTTTAATTTAATATTTGATGATAAATTTTCTGAAAGAATCATTACTAAGATCAATTTAACTTTGAAGTAATTTATTTTTATTAAAAGAGTTATTTTTTTTGTACCTAAAGATATTATGTAAATCATGTAACTTGTAACCACATTTACTTTTATTAGAATAATCAGTGTTTTGAAGTATTTTAATTAAATAATTCTGTAGTGGTTTTGCTTTGCTAATTTTTAAACATTCTTTAAAATAACTGTGATTAATAACCATTTTATAATCTAAAGTACTTTATTGTAAGGAAAATAATTTGGACGTTCTAACCTATAAATGATAACACATGTATATGTGATCTATAAGAAAAATAATGATAAAAATAAGCATCATGACAAAGCAAAACCACTTGAGATTAATAGTATACACATATTACATATAGATGAATTGAAACTAAACCACTGATTTCTAATTTAAATATAATAACACATGTTACAAATATTAAAACTTTTGTATTGCATCCTAAAAGTCAGCTTTTCAACAAAAAATAATTGCACCATGTGCACTGGAGGCATATGTCATAGACAACTGTAAAGTAAATTAGGTTATGTTCGCATTACCACGCAGAGTACGGTGTACCGGTATGGTAATTGTATCGTACGAATATGCTGTATTTTCATAAATGACAGTACAACGTAATGGTATTATACTAGCCTCAAACTTTTATGGAGTTCTTTTATTTAACAATTTCAGTCGTACGACATACCGTCGTTATACTGGTACAGTACCAATACGTATATTATACTTAATTATTTTGTGCTGGTACAATACGAAAATAATCTCAGTACGCCGTACTGGAAAATGACGATCAGTACGCTTGGCTATCTGGGAATGTTAAACTAGCAGAAAAAGAATTAAAGAAGAGGAAAAAAAATTCAAAAATTAATTTATTAATTAATTTAATAATTTAATTATTAATAATAAATTAATTAGTTAGTTATGCCGGCAATTATATTAATACCGAGTAGGCTGCTTATTGGTGCCGGCCCGGTATTTAGCCGGTGAATAGGGCGGTTATTATTATTTATAATTACTATTTTTATTTATTTATTTTTAATGATTTAAATTGAATTAAAATAAATTAGAAAATACAAATGCTGGCCCGGTACCGCACCGGTTGAATATTAGTGCCGGCCCGGTACTGCTGCCAGGTGGAATGTCGGTTGGACTTTATAAGCTCACTTTGCATTTACTTTCCATATGCAGGTTTAGGTTAGCGGATGTGGTGTCGACTTTGCAGCCGCAGGGTCCTGAGTTCAATTCCTCGAGTCTTCAGATTTTTCTATAATTGTTTATGTTTCTCTGTTTCAGCATTTAATATATTTACTGTTTCCAATTTAAAATTAATAATAAAATTGATAATAATAATAATTAAACAATTAATCAGACTGAAATGTAATTTTTTTAACCGGCCCGGTACCACACCGGTTGTTTTTTAGTGCCGGCCCGGTACTGTGTCAGATATTCATCAGTGCCGGCCCGGTACGGTTGCCGGATACCTACCGAAGTTATCATCCGGCAATTTACCGGTACTGCGCCGGTGGAATGAACAGATTTATGCCGGTACTGGACCAGTACCTAGCCGGTTGTGCAGCCGGTAATAAACCGGCACTAAATGCCTTCCAACAATAACCGGGCCAGTACCGCCCCGGTGGATTATTCGGTACCGGCCCGGTACGTATGCCGGATACCTGCCGCAGTTATCATCCGGCAATTTGCCGGTACCGAGACGGTAAAAATTACGGTCTTATGCCGGTACCGCCCCGGCACTTATAATCCGCCGTTTGTACCGGGCCGGTACCATCCCGGTCGTCAATTTCTACCTGGGAAACCTCCCGCTCAGATTATCTCACGTGCCGGAAAAATACCAAGCCAAATGGGCGCGAACCAAGGGTACTTATACCCTCGGTCCTTAAACGACCGCCAAGCGAGGCATCTATCCGACTGAGCTAATCCGTCGGTTCTTTTAGAATATATTATATTCACAAAAAAAGAAAGAAAAGGAAATCATATTATTCGCATTCAAAAATTACAAAAGAAAATTTTTTTGATTTAAAACCTAAATAATTTTATTAAATTGTAATAGTACCTAATTAAAAATTTTAATAACAATAAAAATAATGAGAATAATAGTAAAAATAAAAATACT